ACTCCTGAGCTAGACGGACCATCAGCCCTAGTAGGACATTTCTTAAATTCTTACGCCTTTGTCTTTCTGTGGGAGAATGAGACAGGATGGGACTGAATCCTCTATTAAGCATAGCATTATGATCTGCAGACAGCCTCAAAATTGCAAACGGAACTTAAAGCATCAGAGAAACCGTATGTACGTGGAATAGTGTTCTGAACACAGTTGTGGATTCCAGACGAACAGAGATTTAAAAAAAAAAACCACAGGAGGATAGAAAGATGCATTTCAGCCTGGAGGTCCAGTGAGACGCTAGCAACACTACTGGTAATTTAATTAAAACGCTTGGAACAGTGGGGGAAAGAGTTTAAAGGTAAAGACAAAAGGAAACAAAGTAGAAAGAGAAACATAACAGACTACAGCTGAAAGGTGAAGTCTGGGTAGAACATAACCAAAACAACTGCTGATTCGCAAGCTGAGCATCTGAAAGGAAATATATATGCAAGAGCAGTTTCCAGCCAGCACAGAAGGATCAGACCAGAGTACTCCACATCTCTGAATTTAACATGCACAAAGGTACACTGAATGCAAGTATGATCAGACACCTAAAGATAGAAATCTAATGTGCTTCAAGGCAACAAAGCGCTTCAGACTTCTACAGTAATCTGCACGTCTGATTCTTGATGCCTCACCAGCTGGAGTATATATTCCTAGCAGAATACACAGGACCTCAAAATAACTATCAGTTCTAAATGCATAGGCATTGACATTCATACATCTTCACTTCTCCAAATGCATGAAATTCTAGTAAAAATGAAAGCTGCTTATTTAGCACTGCAGAATATCTGCCACCTTTTTTTAAAATGAGGAACTGTGAGGTGTGCACACTAGAATTACAGGGTTAAAAGCACTAATAGTTCATCAGCTCATAGGCAGTGTACGGATATTATTATTAATTTTCCTTTGAGATTGGGGAAAAACAGCCTCTTTCGAATTGAGGAGACAATCCAGAATATTTTGAATTCAGACCTGGTAGATAGAAATGAATTTGCAGGACTTGTTACGTTCTTTACAATGTAAATGTATCTAGTAGAGTTTCCTCTAGGCAATTAGCAAATATCCCTAAAAGAAGAAAAAAACTGCTCTAAAATCATGAACCATTTGACGTTTATCCTATGAGTAGAAAAAAGATTTAGTAAGAATCATACGAAATTATGAAGATCTCTGTCAGCCAGTGTGGGCAGAGTGGAAGAGATTTGAGCTCAGAAATCCAGATAGTAAAACCACAGCAGCTAGACTGGGGCTGGATTACCAACACTCCTCGTCCTACCTTCACAAGGACATTTGGACTAACTGGAGAAAAGCCTGCCCACATTCACAACTCTCTATGGAACACAACCCAGCTCCAATTTGAAAAACACTACAGTTTTGTTTGGCAAAAAAAGGTAAATAGATCTATTCCAGGATATTCACAGTTCTTAAAGTGGGTAACCTGGACCTCAGAGTAGATTTTTCATTTGTGGTCTGGCACAGCTAAAACAGCTGAGACCGCAAGCAGATGTGTTCAAAGACCATGGAAAGAATACAGCTAGACAGGTGAATTTATTTCTCTTTGTTTGAATTCCAGAGGTCAATCACTTCTAAGAAAGATCAGTGAGGTTTTGCTTCATCATCCAGGTTCATTCAGTGTGTGCAGCTGGTGCTCCCTACTACAGCCTAATAACCTGTGAGGCTGGTGAGAACGCCTGGCACACTCTTCTCAGTGCTTCAAGTTTGAAAACATCAGTGTCACGTTTGCCCCTGAGTGGATCAACTAGTTGGGTTATCAAAGCTTTCAGAGCGCACCCCCTAACTGAGACATTACAAGCCTCTGACAAGAGCTGACTGGAGACAAAGTATGGAAAGGCATCCCCCTTCGCACGTCATCATTCTAAAAAAAGTATTAGACCATCTGACCTGGTGAGGGACAATATGAGGTGACACAGAGTTGACCTTGACAGTATACATGTGATGTCCAACCTACAGATACCACAGCCTGGTAGACAGAGTGGTGCAATGAGACATTAAAAGACGTGACAGACATGTTTATTGTGGCAGCATGACAAGTCCCTTTTGCTGATTTGCCTCAGGATCTGTTCCATAACACATGGCTGCTAAAGGACTCAAAAACCCTGTGATGTCCTTTATGAACTGCACAGAGTGAGCTGCCATTTCTGCTCATTTATCTGAGGGCCGGAGTGGAAAAGCTAAAGAGCTGCACCTGAAAGAAACAGAAGAGAGGAAGTAGGGGGAGGCAAGTTTGAAAGCCTGATCTCCAGAAGTTCTCATTAACAAGACACCATTGAAAACAATGCCAAAGAAGTGGGCTTCCTCAAGAAAAATGACAGGCTATAGCTAACATAATGAAGAAGGGAGGTCAGGTCACTGCACTGCAACAGCTAATCCCATCCAGTAATTTCCACAAAGAAATGCCAATGGTTGCCATCTACAGCATTCATCTTTGTGCTAAAAGTTGTGGCCCCAGAAACAGAAGGTAAGGAAATGGAAGTCAGGCAGGCAGGCATGCAGCAGCTGCAAAAGATTTATGAGCAACTGGCAAGACTAAAAGAACCAAAGCAAATCAGGTGAAACCAAGGATGATTGAAAGCTCTTTGTATTTGGCTGAAATTGGACAACATCTCATGGGCTCCCAAGTTGACAGGCAAGCTGTGGTCATGGCAGATGCAGATGCCTAACAGCTTTCAAGGAGACCTTGAGCAGTTCAAATCACAGGCACATTTCAGCCGAGGAGTAGTAAAGAACATCCAAGAGACAACTACTTAATGCACTACAGATAGTTCATAATTGTCTGCATATGCTCTCAACTTGATATATAATAACAAGTTAAGAGTTTGTGTTGTATCCACATTATTTCCATGCATATAGTATATTCACTGACCAAACTGAGCTGCTGACATGACAAATATTTAGTTCCCTGTTGATCACCAGAATCCCATGTCACACTGTACTGTGAGTCCATCCTTATGCATTTGTATCAATTTACGAGAACTGAAATTGAAGAGAGTCCATTAAAAAAGGCAAAGGTCCGTCCTTTGCAAGACCTATGTGCAATCACATTTGAAATAACGTAATTATTACATGCTTAATGTGGACCATTAGTTCTTTTGCCATGGACAGCGTTTTTCAGCGCTTTACATCGTACCCACAGCAGACAGTCATGTAAAAAGTCGTACTTATTTAAGTATGTATTTTCCTCCAATAACATGGCTCATCTCGAGCATACAGTTCCAAATACAGGGGTGCATTTCACTTCTGTGAGACAATGCAAGAAACTGAAGACTGCTTGACAGGACCCTGGATAGCCTAATCTAAAGCTTTGCTTTCAAAAGAAGGTTGGATAAGACTATTTCCAGAGGTCCGTGCCCACGTAGACTTCCACAATTCTATGATTCTGATACCATGGTTCTCACACTCTCAGAACAAATATCATTCGGTGCCTCTCAAAATGCACTCTCATTTCTAATTTTCTGAAATGGCGATTTAAGTGTTGCATTTTTTTGAGTATGCATATTTCTAAGTTATTCATCAGAAATTTTCGTTTTTCTGATAAAGACAATTATTATCATGCTTAATAACATCTAAAAGACTGTCAAATACACAAAGAGGGTTCATGATAAAAAATTTCTATAGAGAAAGAAAATGAAGGATGAAGTAAAATTAAAGTTTTACTGAACTCATAGCTGAATGTATCAACTTTTCTCCTTTTTCCCCACTGTTATTAACAAAAGTTGTAACTGAGAGATTATGATGGTTTTAAAGTTGACAAGAGTCCCTTTTTCAAAATTTTGAACCAATTAACTGTGTAATGTTATGTACTAAGAGTCTGATTAACATCTGATTCAGAGGCCCATATATTCCGCCATTTAATACATTTCATTACATAAACTTCACCATTTAATATGTGTGCTGTATTTGGTCTTTCCGTTACATACATAGAGCACCTAGCACAGTAGGAGCACATTGGAATTACTGAAATAAGAACAGTAAGTCATCATACGTTTCAGCTTCTAAAATTATTCTTGGTAACAAGTCTCAGACAGAAAATCTATTCTTAGATGACTGGCAACTCCTATTCTCTCAGGTTGCAGAGGAGAGGATACTCTGTTGGAAAAAAAATCATGAGCTCGAATACTGAAATTAACAAAAATCACTAGGTATCACACTGCATTTTAATATTCCAGCACTGACAGAATAAAACCTGCAATAAAATAAGGTATTTCTATTGTAAGTAAAGATTATCTTGCTTGTCATCTGCAGTTCTTCTGGTAATGTCATTTTCATAACGATGCCTCAGAGGACAAACCAAAAATGATAAAACCATCACAAAAACAACAAGATTCACCTATCAGATGACTTTTTAATACTACTATATACAGAGCATTTTAGGAGAAATAACTGGAAGCAGGAGATGTACTGTACTTCTTCCATACCTTCAATTATTCTTTTAACTCACAATAGCTTATTTATTGCCTTGTTTTTTAAAGTCTTTTATCCCATTTTTTTCTTATTGCTCACTGAGTGAGATAGAGGTAGGCTTATTTACTTCCACTCCCTCAAGTAGGACATCACTGCTAATGGTTATTTATTTAATTAACTAATCAGGTTATTTAGACATAAGGAGAAAATAATTTAGACCCAAGATTCTTGCTTTTTACTAGTTATTGCCTCAGGATTTTTTTTTTCCAAGTAACATAAAAATGAAATATAGATTTCCAAAAAGCAGGTGACCCTTTGACACACAGATGGTTCTACAATTTCCTCCATTTTCTTTCTACATTTTCGTACATTCTCTTTCATTTTTATATTCCTACAACAAAATCAAACTGAATGATTCCAGTTCCTTAACAGGGATTATGACATTTATTCTAACCGGACCTAAAAGAAGTATAACACAACTAGTTCCCCTTTTATCAGAGAAAAAGTGATCATTATTATTTCTAAATATAAATAAGCATACACACCCTTAGTGTTGACTGTTTTCGCTGTGACCTCTAGTTTCTCCAATGGTTCTGTTCCAATATTTTCTAACTTAATGATAAGCTGTTGGGTCTCTCCATTGTAAAGCTGGACAGACACATTAGTGGAGATTTCATCCCCTGAAGAAGGCTGAAGTGTATGAGCAGACCTACAAAATGTGACACACAGACAAACAAAATATCATGATAAACATGTTAAAAGCCTGTCCAAGTTACTATATTCTATTAACTATTCTTTGAAGACTCGGAAGCTACTGCTCTGCAATCTTGAAGATATTAGATATCATTTTCCATTCTCATTTTAGCCAGGGTCATTTTTTATAACCATTGAGGATAAATGTTCGTATTTAATGCATAAGACAAGTCAGATTTCAAACAATATAAAATATGTATTCCTAATTGTGAAAGCTTGTTAAAAATTGCTGCAAAAACCATAAGAAAGGGAAAAGAGCAAAAAAGCAAGAGCAGGTCATTAGAATGAATAAACTTGAAAAAAGCGGTATCTGATCTACCAAGTGTTTGAACACTAGGGTTGAGTAACATGGAATATCAAGAGCTGAATGTAAAACAAAAATAATAAAAAATAAAATTGAGGAGAATAAGAAGTTGAGTGCTACATAGGATTACCAGGGTGAGAGTCCTCTGCAAGATCCTGATGTCCATACTGCTCTCTGATCAGCCCGTAAAAATTACAAAAGTGAGAATGAAGTAAACTGGTAGAAGAAACCTCAGAAGAGATGAAACCTTTGTACTCACAAGTGAGGATACATTATCTTACATTGTTAGGCATTCCCAAACTCCACCAACATATGATATATGCAGAATTAGGACAGAAACGCCTTTAATGACAGATAAGCAGCACTAAATGTTTTACACAGCTGTTCACCCAGAAACTGTTTTCTTAAGGGATCATAAACAGTATCTGAAATACGAGGTAAGATATACTTAGCAGAGCAATATATTGTAAAAATAACGTAAAGATGAAACAAAAATTATTGTATGAGTTTTATGTGCCAGAGAAAATGCATGGGAATCTAAAGCTTCAGAAACATGAGAATTTATTTAAATGAGTATCAAGCATTTCATTTTAAAGTAACAAATGTGTCAAACCAGTCAATTATTGAAATAGCAGATATGCACAGTGCTATGACAACACATCATGGATAAAGGAGAATTGAGCAGTAACATTGACCTTTGCTGGGAGAAAGTAATACGGGAGTTCAGCGAATGCAGTTTTAGTGGACAGCAGAGGGCATAAACCTCATGGGAGTGGATCCTGGAAGAAACTCACTTTGTGAAAGGTGAAACTGAATATAAACAAACTCTTTAGAACGTGAATAAGGGAAGAAGGATTGCAGAACAAGACAGATGGGCAGAGGTTCAATTTCTGACTGTATTTTTCATGCTAATGCAAAGTAGTCAAAAGGGATCAAGGACACAAGGGCAAAAGCTACTGAGATTAATGACTGATAAATCTGTTGGGAAACCCAGGTTCAGTAACTTCTTTTGGCAGGTATTTCTGCTATCCTTCCTTTCTATCCTATCCTTCCTTAGCACAAGATAAGCAGCCTCCACAAACAAAAGAAGATTTTAGTCTTTCAGAATGCATCTATGACAACAAGTACTTAAAACACGTATTTTTTTATCATTTAAAATTTACTGTCATGTATTGTTATCATTGCAGCACTCAGAAGTTTGGGCATTTGGAGTGACAGGACAGAAGAAATTTCTTTTCTCCCCTCATATTTAAACAAAAGCATCAAGGAATTGCATACTAACAAACCAAACAAATGGTACTTTCAACTACTGTATAAATGCACATCTGAAACCTGAGCCCAAGCTAATTCAGCTTACACATCCTTTTCTGTAATACAGCTTCTTAAATTAAAAACTATCTCAATCCTTGTTTAAGTACTGCGTAGCCACCAGCTTTGTTCTGAACTTGCAAGACCTCAGGACTGAGGCTTGCCATGAGGATATTGGTAGATGAAAAATTAGATATGAGCCGGCAATGTGCGCTTGCAGCCAAGAAAGCCAATCATATCCTGGGCTGCATCAAAAGAACTGTGGCCAGCAGGTCAAGGGAGGTGATTCCCCCCCCTCTACTCCACTCTGGTGAGACCCCACCTGGAGTGCTGCGTCCAGCCCTGGAGCCCTCAGCACAGGGAAGACACAGACCTGTTGGAGCATATCCAGAGGAGGGCCACAAAAACGGTCAGAGGGCTGGAACACCTCCCTTATGAATAAAGGCTGAGAGCGTTGGGGTTGTTTGGCCTAGAGAAGAGAAGGCTTTGGGGAGACTTTATTGCAGCCTTTCAATACTTAAAGGGGGCTTACAAGAAAGACAGAGACATTTTAGCAGAGCCTGTAGTGACAGGACAAGGGGCAACAGTTTTAAACTGAAAGAGGGTAGATTTAGATTGGACAATTTAGTAAGAAATTTTTTATGATGAGGGTGGTGAGACACTGGAACAGGTTGCCCAGAGAAGCTGTGGATGCCCCATCATTGGCAGCGTTCAAGGTCAGGTCAGATGGGGCTTTGAGCAACCTGATCTAGCTGAAGATGTCCCTGCCCATGGCAGGGGGGTTGGACTAGATGACCTTTAGAGGTCCCTTCCAACCCAAACCATTCTATACTTCTGTGCCTGCTCTGAACTTGTCCTGACCTGCCTGCAACTTTGGTTTGACTTACTGTAGCTGCAGCAGCAATTTTTCTTCTGACCTGGTGGCTACGCCTATTGCTTTATTTATGTTACCTCTGTTTGGTACAACCATAGTTTCATATAGATAGCAGTAACAAGCAGGTGTACTAGTTGAATGAGATATTTATGACAAACACAGTGAGAGAAACACAAGTCTGGTATGATAGCAGAGGCATTGTGAAGTGGAGACACAGGATTTAGCGGAGAGGACTACTGGTGTGGGATGGTAAGAGATGGGGCACACGCTTAGCATCAGAGACCCCACACCTATTCACTAACAGTCAAAGAAATGCAGGCCTGGAGCTGGACAAAAAGAGCTTTCAGGGGTAACAAAGTAAACAAGAATCTAACATACAAAAAAAGCACCACATATATTAAATTCGGTTGTAACGTGGAGCTTGAGTGAAAAAAACCCCAAGGCATAAAAATGTGTTAGCAAACAAAAATGGCCTCAAGTGTTTTCTAGAGTGAGAGGGGGAAAAAAAAAAATCAACATCATATTCCTCTCAGTGAAGGTCTCCAGATGCTGACAGCTAGCTGTACCACCAGACTGAAAAGGCCAATCTTAGGACCCAGAGGAGCAGTGGGAGGGTGAGCATAAGACCAGGATAATAGGTAGAAAATAGGAAGTGTGTGTATAACAATTTTAAGTGTATTTATTAGTGATTCTTCTTGTGTATAGAGTATTTTTCTCTCTTTTTCTTTCTTCTGTAATAATTGCATCTGCATTAATAATGATTCCTGTATTGGACTACTGAGATACAAACAGTAAGTTCTTAGCTTTATACATTCCTCTTTGCTCATAAACAAGATTTTGAGCATAACAGTATTGTACAATTATTTCAGTATATTAGAAAATACTCATCAGGAAAGCAACCTATAATACCTGGCACACTGGCATGCAGCTTTTCTGCTTCTTGTGGAAACGACTGATATTTCTCCAAGTTCATCCATATTAGACCACTTTCATTATTTTACTTATAGATTTGTCATTTTCTTCCCTCAATTTTCTTACTTTATAGGCTTTTTCCATCGACTGTTTTGCTCAGTATTGTAATATTTTTATATACTATATATGATACATATAAATTTATGCATAATTATAAATACATATAATGATGAAAACATATACTAACAAAGTCATTCCCAAGCCACAGCAAGCTTCATTACAGCTCCTGCTAAGTTGAGCTTATTAAATTGACCTTCCATAACACAAATCAATCAAAAAAAATTTTACAGTTCTAACAAGGCGTTATGGTATGCCTAGAAAGGCCTGGACTTACTCTTGCCAATATGACTATCACCCCAAAATTACTACTAGATCAATCAACTGTTGAAGAAATTATAAACAGCTATATTTGACCTTTCAAACAAACCTTTTCCTACATACCAGCAGTTTCACCTACAAAGAAGCAAGGCAATAAATACACTATCAAGATTATCTCAAATACTTCAAAAATAAATAAATTTGGTGACAAATTAAGAAAAGTCAGCTCAGCTCCAGTAGAAGGTTCCAAAGACAATCAGCTATAAAAACTCATGTGCTCTGTCAGGAAAAGACTCTCGAGAATAGAGCCCAACATCAAATGTTGGTAAGATGGGTGTCAAAGCAAATGTAGAAGTAAAGCAAATCAGCAAGATGCAAGGATAGAAATTGGATTCGGATTTTATCCTGCTGTCTCTAAATTCAGAATGTTCTTTCTTTCATTTCTTCACCATGTCTTTTAAAAATACATCATCCTCCGGAGAACCCAAAGGATAAAACGCTGTTCAAAGGAGTCGCATGAGGCAATTTGCTGGTATCATAGAGGCTGGGAGAAGTAATAACTGATGGTAAACAGAGACACCTCTGGCATACTGCATGGTAGCCAGGAGTGCTTCTGAATTCCCAGGGTGTTACAGGAACTGAGACCGAGTACTGAAACTAAAGCATCTGAAGAAACTAACAGTAAATTTAACACCAATGAAAAAGTAAATTCACACCAGTTCACAAAGAAAATCTTGTTAATGTTCCACATTATCAGCTGAACATACATCCAAGAAGAGCAGCTATTATGCTCATTTAAGACTATTTGCAATTCCCTCTGTATTTCAAACCCATCATCTTCTTTAATACATTCATAACTTTGGCTAGCCAATATTAATTTTGATTACAGCTAAACCACATAGACTCCATATCTAGCAGAATTTTTATAGGGAATTTACCAACATGTAACTCAATTGCAGCGTTTTATTATTTTGCTGTCTTCATCAGGATATTACTTTTGTATCTCTGTAATACAATGCCATCAACACAGCCCATTCCACATTAGAAAAGTAGAATTCAGTATGGAAAAATCAGAACCAAACTGGTTCCTTTGCTTTAACTAAGTAAACCATACTGAAGAACGCAATAAAAAAAAAATGTTACATATATATACACATATATATCTCTGTGTCATACGATACTGATGGCCATCCTACTAAGGATCATAAATGGAGCTGAGATCTTCCAATCAATAGAACAATCCCTGTGGTACTTGAGCTATCAAGGCAGTAAGTAACAAAGGCTGTTTCCTGATCCATAGCTAAAAGGACTATTAAAAAAAAAAAAGGGAAAACTGAAATTCCGTACTTTTACAACTATTTGCAAAACAATAGATGGCTGGCAAGACTCTGAGATATAGTGATCAACATGCAGCTTAGTAGGTGAATACTCTTGAACTTTGAAAAGTTCCAAAAATCGAATTGAATCAGCGTCTTACCAGCTCTCTCTAAAATCGTGGAATTAGTCAGCCACATTCTTCAAGAAAAAAAAGCTAAAAAAAAACTCACAAAAAACCCACACTACTACTGTGATCTTTTTGGTGAGTGTATAAGGAAGTTATTTTAGTTGATTCTTCCTGTACCTTTTAAACATATTGTTTCTGTAGTACGGTATCGTTTGGTCCTCTCCTAAACAATGGAAATATTGATATATTGGAGCAAGTCCAGAAGAGGGTTATCAAAATGATTAGGAGGCTAGAGCACATGACATATGAGGACAGGTTCAAAGAGCTGGGTTTGCTCAGTTTGAAAGAAAGAAGAGGGGGTGATTTTTACTTTTGTGAGTACGGTCAGACATGGGAACTGATTTCCCCCAGAGGTGATGGAAACACCGCCCATGGAGATAATTAAAATTTAACTAGATGATATCCTGGGCAACCTGATCTAACATTTAAGTCATATCACTTGTCAAAGCTGACCCTGCTTTGAACAAGATCCTGGACCAGATGACCTCCAGAGGCACCCTTTCCAACCTACACTATTCCATGGATTACCTCTTTACTGCAAGATTTTATGAACATTTAGCCTTTAAAGGATTCAGTCTTTTAAAACTATGACTCTAATAATGAATAACCATTACACTCGCTCAGTTAATTAAATCTCAAAATATTTTCTATGAAATTCCAAGGTTTCAAGCAGGAAAACAAAAAAAATAGATTTGTATTGTAAAGTAAATAGCACAGATATAGTTTATGGCTTGTTTTACTGAAGCACCGATTATATACTCAGATGAAGGAGTTTTTATTCAACACTTAACTACGCTTAAATACAACCAAATAAAATCATCATTTAATTCAGTTTCTCACCTTGGAAGGGAGGTACTGATCTGCAGCCTTGGCAAAGCTGGAATGACTTCAACAGTACAGCCATTGGTCTTCACTCCTGGCAGATTGTCCAGAAGGCAATCACTGAAGACTCCAAAAACTGAAGTATGGTAACCTGATTTTTAGAAGAAAACACCAGTATGTTGTGAATTTTTCTGTTTCCTGAAAGGTCTAAAAGTACTAAGCTTACTAGTCAGATCTTGCCAATATTTCTGCTACCCAAACCACCACCTTCTCTACAGAAGAATCTTCTCAGGACACAAAATACGTAAAAGGTTTTCAAATCCCCTAAATAACATTTATAACTACATGACAACATACAAACAACACACATGTATGCCTTTATGACATGTAAATTTAAAAAAATAAAAGAGTCCATGATTTCTACCACACATTGTATAAGTTCTGTAGAATCCTTTACGAGATCAACATCACAAGTCATAGTACAGAGACCACCATTTTATACTACATCACCTAATCCACTGGTGCACATAGAACTTGTTACCCTTCAACATATGTTAACAGTTCCCTATTTCCTCTAAAAACTGTTTATAGGAATGAGTTTCAACTGTATCCACAAGTGAAGTAAAAAAGAATCCTAAAGGAAATTAATTAGGAAAAAAAATATATATATGCATACATGCATACCCACACAGACACCTGCCATGCAAGACCACAGCTTATCCTCTAAAAGTTCAATTTAGTAGGAAAGTACCTCTACACCAATTCCTTACCAGGCAATATATACAAGCTACACTGAAGGAAAAATTGATACACTGACAGACAAACAGCCACCAAGTACAGAAATCAACTCCTCCACTTGCAATACATTTTTAGTATGTGAAACTAAAAGCAGACAACTACAGCACAAATGTTCTGAATGCTTTGATGCTATTCTGTATTTACTGAAATAGTTTCTGGAAAAAAAAAATCAAATGAAGAATCGTTTTATGAGCAGACAGAAAAGCACTTAAGAAAAACTCAGTGAGAACAGAGTTTCTTCAAGTTCAAAGCCATCTTCTTTTGGTGTTTAGCTTTATTAAAATGGTTCTTTTCCTGTAATTCTGTATTCTGGGAACACGTACCTAAAATTGTGTGTTGGTAAGATGATTCAGTCCTACTACTTGTTGAATCTATCATCTTCACATATACCTCCTTTTCTAGGAGACTGATCTGCTCGTCTTCTACAAAAGCTCTTTAATTCTCTTTACTTACTACAAACACAATTTTATTTAGGCTTATTAATGAAATGATATCTCGACTGCAACAGACTACACACATTGGCTAAATTGTTTCTACAGAAGCAATCTGCAAAAATTTCTGTAATCTTACATGAACACGATTAATTAAGAAAAACGAACTGCAAGATTATCTTCTGCTTTCTCATGAAAACGTTCAAGTAATCCTCCTCAGAAGCTTTCCAAATGAAAGCATTAATAAAGGGGAGTTTGAGTTCATTATCCTTTTCCACTCATACGTGAGATACTGTAAATATGTGTTCATTACTGCTGTTACAACCAAGGAATTTTTCGGGCTATGTTTTTTATGAAGTCTAGTATAGAAAACAGATTTCCTTTTTTTTTTGTTTTGTTTTGTTTTTTTGTTGGGTCGACGGTTGGACTCGATGATCTTAGAGGTCTTTTCCAACCTCAATGATTCTATGATTCTATGATTCTTTTACTTACTGAGGAGAATTCAGAGTGCCAAATATATATGTGTCATACAAACTTATGTAATCCACAGAGATGTAAAACACATGGTTGTTTTGCTAGGAAGAGAATGACTAAAGACATCCCTTACCATTAACAGTGATCTGTCCAGTAGTTTGAGGAACACCCACAAGAGTTACCGGATAGAGACCAGATTCTGCAGGTAGAGAAAGAGCTGCAGGAAGAGATTCGAATTCTACTCCTGTTGTCAAGAGACCCTGAAAAAGTCATATTACATAGATAAATGCCTTTATGATATACACTTACATTTTTATGATATATACTTATATTTTAATCTCTCGCATTACATCACCCAAACTTTTACGATTTATTCCAATTTCCTCATTGACGTTATTTTGGTTTTTAAGTTCCAGTGACTGAAGCATGCATCTTGAATTACGACAAGATTTGCGTTCAACACTGAAACGTGTTTCAGGATCTGAGGGGGGAACATCTGAGGCAGAAACAATGTATGAAAAACTAATAAAAATTTATACCCAAGCACAGTAAAAAGAATGAGTGATTTAATCTGCATGGTGTTGTTTTGTACCTACATTTAATTGTACCTGTGACCTTACTTATGTATTTGCTTATATTTTGGACAGTGGAAATCAAACATCAATAGTGGCTCTTGCTTAGCTTTAATTAAAGTTCCTGGCCAGAAAACAGGAGGAAAAAAATTTAGTATTTACAGATAATAAAGCAAGCCTAGCTTTACTATCCAACCTAAACATCTCAGTGAGTTGGAATAAGACATTCACTTTTCTAAATCGATCCTTTATCAAGCTTAGATGCCTGCAGTTAGGCTATATGATTTACTCCCTTAGTGTATATCAGAGAAATCTCTTAGCATCCTAAATTTAGAACATGGGACAAAATAAGAAATTAAGAAAAAAAAAAATTTAACAAACTTTTAAACACAGCATTACTGTCCTTAGTAGACTGGGGGGGGGGGGCTAAGCTCGGTTAATGAATTTAAGATGCTTCAACACAGAATGTACTGTTACAAGTAAGAAATTTAATGCTGTAAAGCGCACAAGTCTAAGTTACCAGCTGCTTTTCTATACACATAGATTTTTATTTTTATTTTTTTAATAAAGATGCCATCCAAATATCTCCATCAAGTAATGCAGTAAGTACAACTGGATTAAACCTCAACTCCATGAGGATGCTTCACAGGAACTCAAAACTCTATGGAAGAGGTAGATACTATTTTTGTAAAGACATGAAAAAAATCATCATTTGAGCCACAGAAAACCACAAAGAGACTGAAGACTGAACAAGGAGTTTAAGAAGCAGCAACGTTATCTGCAGAGTGCCAGAATACCAGCATTGTTTTCCTTTGAAAACATCTATGATTGTCTAGTTTTTAGTTCAATTGGATTATGAATGGTGTGCCTCTAATGCTCATGTCAGCTGTAAAAGACAGACTAGCCCTCTTATGTTTCTAATTCTCAGTTAGAAATTAGGAAAATTGATACTCGTATAACAAGTACTTAAAGAAACGCAAATGGCACCACCGAAATTACCCAGGCAATGACTGAAACTTGACCTGTCATGTACATTAAGTTTTAATGGCCTGATTTGCATTGGGACTAACCACCAGCAAGTCTTCTTCAAGCAATTCCTAGATATTAACCAAAATCAACACACCAGCAGTAAAAAACTGAACTAAATTAAAAGCTATTATCAGAATTTCTTCCCTCCTCAGAAGGCAGTGTGCCTTCTGGAAAACTAACAAACAACTGTCTTTTATGTACATGCTACATAACGGCTAAATAAATGCTTTGCACCTAAGATTTTTAACAGCAAAGTCCTAAACACACCAGAAGCTTAAGAAAGCAAACTGAACAGGTTTGTCAGGTTCTTGATTTCTCTTCTACTGAAGATCTGAAGTCATCAAGATTATAATATACCCAAAAGCTAAAAAAATCCTTCGTTCTAGCAATTACTTCTTTGTAGACTTGACACTGTTGAGACAACACCTAATTCAATCAAAGCTATTCTGGCTTTGTGGAAAGGCATGTTAGAGAGCTCTATCCTTCTCTAATACTGCACAAAATTCAATGTCATCATTTTGCTTGAGTTGTAAGAAAATACTGTATCAAACCCTCACTTTTACTGAATTTTAGTTTTCCCCCAGTTTCACACGGAGACTTCAGCTGTCAGAAACAATCCACAAAAAAGTAAGTAAAAACTAATTCTGTGTTATAATTGTCTTACATTCACCACCCAGTGTACCAGAGCACTGCCGTTTTTTGATTCCCACTTCATAAACGCAAGCTTGGTCACTACTTTTCAAATAGGTCTGTTTATGTAGCTGGGAGCTTAAGCAGGCCTTGTTTGCACTCTTGGTGAAATATTCCTTGCAATACTACAGAATAAAGAGATTAAAATAATTATTGCAATAACTAGACAATACAAACTAATTTTAGATATGATGCAACACAATTGATTGCATGTGACTGAATATGAATCCTTCCAGTGGGATTCACCCCACAGAAATGGGGTGAACATTCACACTTTAATACTGACTTAGCCTCAGTCTTCATCATAATCATTCTGCTTTTGCTTTGGCTGAAGCAAATCTTAGAACATAAACAAAAGGTGACCCCATGCACCCTCCTAAACTCACTTTTAAAACAGGTACAGAAGGCTTTGTAAGATTATTTCAGTCCCGAAAGCACTGAACTATCATTTGTCCAAATATTCAAATATATTTTAATTATTCAGGATTCACCTCAACTAAATACTTTCATCCAAGGACTTAAAGTCCTAAAAAATCTATGACAAAAAAAACCCTCCAATGTCTTGTTTAGTACCAGCTATAACAAATGCAAATAAACAGAACTGACAGGGACCCCTTCTAACTCATCTTCCTACTCTGAAGCAGAGCCAACTCCACGTTAACAATTCCCAGCATGTTTATTCTAGGGAGTTGGAATTTCCCTCAGTGGTAGTCTCTAAAAGGGGATTAGGTAACTTAATGCAGTGGTTAAACTGGAAAGCCTTTCCAGTTCAAACTTTCTCCCAATACTACACTGAACTTACCTTGTAACAATTAATACACATCATTATTTTCCCATTCCTAGCTAACTCCCCAAAATAGCCAGTATATCAAATGCCTATAAACATATACAAAACACTAAGAAATGACAACACCATTGCAAAACCATAGTCAGGTCACTTTTCTGAAATATGGGAAGCTCCTCATTAAGACATGGTCCTCATTAGCCCAGTTTTCCTTGGGGCAAGGGAGAGAGGGAAGCAATGGGTAAATACAGCTTTCTCCCATGTTCTTACTCCTCTGCTTCACATTTTTAGTCAAGCTGGATGTCAGGACATACATTCATACATTCATTTCACTTCTTGCAGTATAACCAATCTTGTGCTTTTACGTAATACAAATTAGTCCCCCATCCCAGCAATTAGACATCGTCCACTATCAAGCTGGATGGAGGGGGTGCATGGGAAGACATTTCCCTGAAAGCCTTTTACGTTCCCGTAAAGGAAAAAAAAACCTCAAGGGGGGCCATAAACCAGCACAGCCCTGAGAAATGCATCTAAAGTAGCCATGCATGCACATACACAGGCTGCCATACAACCCCAAAATTGCCAGTCAAAACCTCAGAGCCCAGCCAGAGTTTTGATCTATGACACCAATAAATTCCCTCATTGCAGGGGACCGAGGCCTGGAATGGACCAGAGCCAAATAACCCTGAAGAAACTAAAGATCACAACCGTGGGGGAAAAAAATAGGGAAATGAACTGAGAAAAATTAAATAAATCAATGGTAATATTTTTAAAGGCTAATGGTCAAGGCTCAGGAAAAGCAATGATCACAACCCAGCTGTCAGAGAAAGCATCTTCTTCACCAAAGGATTTAAACCGAGTATGTTAACAGCAGACAAAATCCAGACAAAAATCAAGATAAATAGAGACAATAATAGACAAAAAGGCACGCGAACGCATCTGGAGTACAATCACCCAAAATATGCGTGTGTTTATGGACAAGAAGGGTTACTAGTAAGAGAAATTGCTAGTATTAAAATGATTTAATAACAGTAGAGGAAAAAAATTGCTATATACAGTGTAGATTGTTCTCCAGCCCCTGAAATTATATCAAAATGACACCCTTGGATCATGCTGATCACAAACACAGCATGTTGATCACAGATAACTGCTAAAGCAAAATAAGTACTCAGCACAATGTATTTTTCTTATAATGCATTAAAAATGCATTCTCAGTCTATTTTTTAACAACAAAAACCATGAAAAGAAAGAGCTTTTCTAGAGAACAAACGCAATGGAAATGCCAAAACACCTGCACTAAGCACATACTATGCCTGGAGTAGAAATAAAAGAGCCTCAAGTGCATTATCACATGGAGGGGAATACAGCATTCATTTCTCTCATTATGAGAGCTTTACCATTCAGTAAAACTTCCAGTTTTTAAAAGCAAAGATATTAAGAAAACATAAAAACTCACCCAAATGGAAAAAAAAAAAAACAATATAAACCTCAACTAGGCTTCAGAGTTCCAGACATAAACTGAGATCAAGATACTTACCCTTAAAACTTAACCCACACAAATAAGTTTTAAAAGACAATGACATATCTAGAATGTCTGAAAGACATTTTCAATATTGGTATTTGCTGGATGGCAGAATTCAGCAATATTTGCGCAACATTGCCCTCTGGTGCCTAAAAAGATTTTAGATTAACAGTGACAATCAAATCAAGGCTGAAGTATTGTCATATCCTTTACCTAAACTTATCAGACACAAAAAAAAAAAAAAAGGAAGTGTTAGATTTCTTTTCTCTTGAGTCTTATACTGTATTTTAAGTAATACTATTTAGTAATCATTGCTCTTTCTGACCTTCTAGGAGAAGTTTACCCATATACAAGGTTTCCTCCAGGGAATATATGAATCTCACACACACACAAAATTTACATTTCCTTATATTCTTATAAAACAATTTAAATTGTCTTAGAGTGAATATATGCATGCTATTATCACAGCATGTCTTTCAATCACTTCAAACCTCGATTTAGTTTTAGAGAAACAAAGCAACTTGTATGTAAATGGTAGCATTTGGGGATGCTGTTAAACCAGCATGAGTATGTAACTGCTTTTTTTAGGCTTCACTTACCAATCCTGAAATGCAATCATTCTTTTTTTAAAGTAACACTGCCAAAGTTAGTTTTCACACTGAA